ATCTGCAGAATGTGATGCTTTGCATTTGGTGGGACATCAAAGGAGGGAATTACATAAGATGCTATCAACCGAAGCTATTAAACTCAATCCAAAAAGACACTTGTTACAAGTTGGATCTTGTGGTTTATATATAATTCACAAAACAACTGACTGGAAATTTGAGGAAACTCTGACAAATTCTCCTTTTTCAAAGATTCTCCAGCAAGAGCTAATGACTTCAAAAGTGAGACTGGATGTTCGGAACTTCCACCAAAGCTTCTTAAACACCAATGGCTGGAGAACATTAGTGTTGTGGAAAATTAATATTGATTTTGTTACAAAAAAAGTCCTTAGTGATTTAAAAAGGGTTTCAAAAGTGATAAAGCCTTTTGGCTTTAGCCTTGAATGCAAGCAGTTCGTTAAGACTGTTGTTGTGAAGATTACTCAGAAGTCCTCCTTAACTTATAACTTAGTAAAGAACACGAGTTGATTGAATCAGAAAGTTATGTTGTTAAATGCACCATCCAGTGTTATGTTTTCTTTCTGTCTAAAAAGTCTGGTAAATGCAGGCAGGATGGAAGAAAGGGACTGTGACAACATTCTCAGGCAGTTTTTCATAGCATCCCTGCAGTCGCCTGATTCAAGAGTTCGTATGTTTCCGAGAGAGGAGGACAGACTGGATACTCTGTATTTCCATCTCCTGTCAGACATGAAATAATTCCAAATATTGTGGAGAGTTTGCCAACTCTCCTTTCCCTGTCTCATGGACAGGTCAGTGTCGAGAAGAGCTTTTTCTGTAAATAAAGCATATCCTTTAATGCAAGGAGGATCATAATTGCCCACATTAGACATTCTGGGAGTTCAAATTCGATGACGAGGACCCTACTTTGAGACTAATAATGCTTGGAGACGACTTGAATGGGTAATGAAGAAAAACTTTAATGTAAGTTTAACATAACAACAAATGTGCAACGTTTCGACAAGGTATTGTCATCATCAGGTACCTGGGGCTGTCTTGAATGTAAACATAACTATGGAAATGCTTACTTTTGTAAGATATAGGTCATACTTAGAAGTTCAGAAAGTTGAAGCCACAGAAAGGGGACAAGAGAAAGGTTGAAGAAATTGAAAAGCAGTTCCTTTCGTCAGCTGATGAAAACTTTGAGAAAGCTGAAAAAGAGAGAAAATTTTGCCTTCTTACAGTGACCAATTTCCTGAAAAAAGCTGTAAGAGAAAAGAAAGAACCCTTGACGGTTCTCACAGTGAAAATTGAACAGAAACTATGAAAAACAAAACGTTGAATTTTTTATATTAAATTAATTCAGTTACATTTGAACAATGCTAAATTAGTAATAAAAGTATCACTGCCTTTTCACCGTATAAAACATTATTTACCAATATTAACGTTTAAAAACACGTATATCCAAGTGCAGTTTATTTGCTCTATTCTCAAGTGGATCTCTAAAAATGGTCGTTGAAAAGTCTCGAAATTCCATTTCTACGCAGGTGCAGGAGTCTTGTAATACCTAGTGTCAATAGTAAAGTTTCAGACTTTTAAAAATTATAGAGTAGACATACATTACTACAATCCTGTAGATATTGTATGTCGGGGATAACAAAAATGTTCGTGTTTAATAAACAGAACTGATATGACAGCTGAAATTACTGCCTTTTTTATAACTGTTTATAAGGTATTGTAATTTTATGCATATAAACATTTCTTGTTTTTTTATATATAAGTTCGGTATAGAAGAACATAATTATCTGGCTGTTCGTTTCTTTATAATTATTTTACTGTTTAATATGTCGTCTGGGCACATAAAACTAAATATTCCGTGTTTAGGCCATATTTTCTCTTATCCTCATTCATATAATAACTTCTGAATTATAAGTTGATATGTTATTTTTCTAAGGGGATACGTGTTCAAAAATTAAATCCTTACTATAATTATGAGCGATAGAGTTTACTGTTTGTTTATTTTTTATTATCGCAGGGATTGGAGATGAGGCTAAAGTGCAGCTTCACTCACCCAAGAGTTCGGAGGACCTCACTAGCGGAGGAGACATGGTTCTGCGCTGCAAGGTAGAAGGGAACCCAGAAATCACGTATGAATGGTTTCACAACGGTAACAGACTTTTCCGAAACGACCGTGTGTTTTTTCGCAACAAACGTCTTCACATAAATAATCTGAATGTAGCGGATAACGGAATATATACCTGTCGAGGTGTCAACGATGCCGGTACAGTGGACAGCACGGAAAACTTTCCCGTTATTCTTCAAAGTAAGTTAAAAAGAAAAGAAGGACTGTATCATGGTATATTTCAACGTGAAGTGATTATCACTTCACAGTTCCCGAAGAAGAAAAATACTTAAATACTGCACATTGCGTGTAAATGATTGATATCAATCTTTATTAAAAATTAGAAAAATAATTCATATTACTTTTAGAGGCTAGAGCTCAAAAATACATAAAAGTGTTTCATGCTTAAGGAATAAAACAATCGGCAAATTTCCTCAAAAAAGTATAAACTAAAATATTTTACCAGCCTCCCTCACCCACTCACCCCTCAATTCTTACACCGACTGGACCACCACGGTGTATGTGCAGACATATAATAGCTAATGGACTGTATCGCAGATAGAAATACTTAATTTAGATAACTTAAGGTAACATGAACACAGAACTTCGCATGATAAAAATTGTCTAACACTGTGTAACATTTTCAACCATTTGTTAGTGATTGGTAGTATTACTAGATTTGGTTATTTTAGGATTATAAATGTAGGCTACTTTTTTTTTAGCAATCCATTCTTTTACTTTAAACGTTTGGGGGATATTCTGTGTTACGGAATTCTAGTAGACTAGACTACGTAGATTTTTTTTATTATTTGTTAAGGCTTTTCTTCACCAAAAAGCTAATTTTAGTGAAGAAACTTAGATGTAGAGGCCTAACCTATTCCTTGGTTCGCTTTTTTCATAATAACCGACTTGTTTTTCCTAATCCACAGCTCATCAGTATTACTTCAAAGAGCGAAGTACATAGATAAAGCAGGCCTCGTATAATAGTGGAATATAAGCAGTTTGTTTAGTTTATATCTATAGTCGTTTACTCGCAAGTAATAATCTAAAATAGTTTAGTTGTTTGGGTAACGTGACATATCATCCCAATTAATTATCCATTATTATTCAACCTAGGTTTTTGTACTTTTCAGGGTAAAAACAAACACAAAACTAAAAAGATTATTCTAATTAGTTTGAAGGCCCTTCAGTGGCGTCGGAAGCGGGAGGCCCAGGTTACCCTCCTTTTCAATCTGTCCCTGTAAAAATGCACCAAGATTAGGAAAATTATTCTAAAATAAACTTTAGGCGCCTCCTTCTTTTGATTTGCCTCCCACACCTCTGCCCATTATTTTTTCCCAAAATAATAAAGCTTAACAAATAAAGTTTACAGGTAAGAAAAGTGGAAAACCATCACATAGTTTTGATATATAACAATGTAGCGATAAAAAGTGATTAAGAGCTGTATTCATAGAATTAACTTTGCTCTGTTCTTAAATTAAGGTAAAAAGGCAGCAAATATTATCAAATTACCCCATGATGTGACTGTAAGGAATGGAGATCCTGCCTTGTTTGACTGTGTTTATCAGAACGTTGCTGCTTTAGAGTGGTACGCTCCCAAAGAAGATGTTCCCTTAAACAACGGTTCCAGGTAAACTTGTTTGCATATAAAATAATAAACTGTACATGAAATGTAATATTTGGGAGATTTGGTTGTTTGTTGTCTATTGCTAGTATCGAAACCCGATTTTTAGGATTATAAGCACTCAGATTTACCATTGAGTCACCAGGAAGCTTTGTGGGAGAACATGTTAATAATAATTGTTATTCAAGTATAATGATAAAATATTTTGGTGATTGATTAATAACAGCAAGTGGCTCATAATTGTTGTATGTATACGATTGTGTTAATTATTTGTAATGTTGTCCTGCTGTCCGTTTCTCCCTCCAGTAACTCAACGGTAAGCTTGAGGGTTTATAATGGGTTTGGTACCCCCGGTGGTACAGGTAGCCCATTGTGTAGCTTTGCATTTAAAACAGTAATCATTGCTCCTTTGCAATAAAATACTTAGTTTTATACCTTGATTTACCTATGTAGTTTATATATCCTTATAAATGCATAAGGTAAAAACGTTATTTTATTACATTTGAATATCAGAAAATGTAATAAATACAATTGTACAATTATTAACATGATTGTAGGCATGTAGTTATGTATGTAATGTGATAGATAGGACATTTCTGTAACTTGTATTTGTTTGTTGGTGTGTAATTAAGCACAAAGCTACACAATGGGCTGTCTGTGCTCTGCCCATCACTGGTATTAAAACCCAGTTTCTAGCATTGTAAGTCTGCAGACATATTGCTGTGCCACTGGGGGGCTGTAAGTTGTGTAAAAATGTAATTAAAGCTTTAGTTAAAAACAGCATATATGTGTATAACACGGAGAATATGACAAAAGAAAGAGATAAAATATGTAAAAAAAATAAAGATCCAACAAATCCTGCTATAAAATTGAGTTTTTTTCTCTTGTATTTTTGGGAATTGCATTTTTTTTTAATTCTAAGAAATTGGACCAAGAGTTATACTACCAATCATCCATTGCTTTAAACAACAAATATAATTTAAATCTAATACTTTAGACTAATGTTGAGGTTAAAAAAAGAAAATAACATCATTAGTCCTGTATCATAGCTCGGGTTTGGAGCATTAGGGTATCTTTACCTACGCACAGCTATCAGTGTTGATATTTAGTAGTCTTACATAATTTCAAAGAGGATAAATGGACATTGTTATGCAAAATGACCTTACTCACAAATCATAGATTTGAGTTGACCAAAACATTTTGCTTTGTTTTAAAAACATCAGTGATGAATGCCAGATGTATGTTCTAACTTTAATCAATGGAGATCTCTGTTATATTTTAGGATATAACAGTAAACTATTCATTCTTATTCATAAAAAGGACAATTAGTGGCTTAGGTCATTTGTACTTAACTCAAATTTCCCATTACTATTATTTTTCAAAAGATGTCAAGAAACATAATAATAAACAAGTTGAAATTTCGATACATTCTTATAGATTTATTATTAAAAACAACTTTCGAAAAACAAGTATTTTCATTCTAATCATTAGTGCTTATTGTGGTAGCACTCAAGGTAAAGGGGGTAAGGTTAATCCTTCTCAATACAGAAATCCAGCTCTCCATCAAAGCCATCCACATCATCATTGATTATCTCATCTTGAAATATCATATTTATATAAGCTACTGTAATGCATGCACTAGCTATTGGTTGCTGCACAAGTGCAGTAACATTTGTACTTGTACTCTTTATCTTATGAATGTGTAACAACTAATGTTAAACATATGCATTGTGAAGTGCTATTTACAATGCAGAAGGTAAAATTATTTTGCACTCTTCCGTAGTCATTTTTTACCTTACCTCTCTAAGGAATGAGTTATGGGTTCTTTTGCAGTCACTGACCAGTACAAGTTTGTAGACTCAACTCAATAGTACTTTGTGTTAGGGTTAAGGACAATCCAGAGTGTAATAATATTTTTCAAGTGATAACTAGGTGCTATGAACACTTTGGTGTCACATAACACCCTTTTGCACCAGAAAAGTAAACTAATGAGATGTGAAATGTATATCTATATTTACAGGTAACTATCAGAACATTCAACACCTTACTTTTATCATTTTCAAAAAGTTGTTATTCAAAAATGATCTAATTCATATAGGTCATTTTTGCATAATTGAAATTTGTGATGGCACGAGTGTGGGTTGGAACTTTCTAATCTATAGCAGCAGTCTAAACAGATTAGGTTTAGATAATTTTTTACAAGAAAGACTAGCATTCGTTTAGCCCAGAAGACATGAACATCCATTTTGTGAGATTTTGTGGGCTAGGTCAGTTTTGCATAACAACTTTCAAATAATTCTTGGGCAGAGAAGACTTTACTTGGTTGGAAACTTCAACAACTTGAAACATGCCTAATGAAGATTTGTACCAACAGCTCAAAATGTCATGCAAAAACTTCTGAAATTGATACATTTCACAGAATTCACTGATCAAAAATACGGTAAAAATATTGTATAAATAATATGTTTGTGGTGTTAACTGTGCCCTGTATAATATGTATTTATTTTGACATTAGACAAAATTGATTGATGAATCATAAATGGCATGGTATTTTCATCAACACTAAACATGCTGTACCAGGGCACTGAAACTACATAAGACATAACAACAGAGGTAGTTGGATGTCTGTAAAGTCATTGTACTAGGAATGGTTATGAAGCCTTAGTCATGATACTGAACTTTCAGTATTTCTTTTCTCATTTTAACTCAAGATTGTTCTAAATTATTAAGTTTGGATTATATTTATTCTTTAAAAGGATGGTAATTAGTGAGGAGTAAGTGTAAATCCTATTCGTGGGAAGAATACAGAACTTAATAACTTGCATAGAACACTTTCTCTCATCTGCAGATGTAGAATTTTGGAAACAGTCATTTTCTATATTTCACTCCTCTGCCTCATCAAACTTTATATGCATGGAAAGCATACTTAAACTGTTGGTATATGTGGCTTTGAAGTGGATTCTACATATCATATAAAGCCCTCCAGTGACCAGGTTTCAATACCCATAGTGGACATTGTGTAGCTTTGTGCTTAAAAAGCAAACATATCATACAAATTTCTGTTACATTACATTTTTGAATGACCTAAAGCAACTTTATATCATATATATACATACATGTATAATTCAAAAACTGTATTAAAGGCATTAAAAGCTTCAATCTATGTGTAATTTAAATTTTACTTTTTTCTTCTGTAACTGTAAGCCACACAGCGATCAACTGTTCAGAAGTCGTAGACTATGCCTAGTCTACCTATAATTTCATAATTTGTGAATGGATTCCATATCTAGTATTTAGAATTTGTAAATAGACTTTACAACTTCTTACGTTCTGAAAAATAAAATAATATATTGAGTTGAGTATTAGATTACAAACTCGGGGGCTCATGTGTTTAACTGCTGCCCTCCAGGGCAGAGAAGAGAACTTGTTTGCTGATGTTACCAGTGCTCTTCTGACTGGATACTCTCCTATTGATTCCCTATCTTTTGCTTTTTCCATATATTAGGTCGTCTGTTAGTTTGTTTTGAATTTCGCGCTAAGTTACACTAGCCATCCCTAATTTAGCAGTGTAAGACTAGAGGGAAGGCAGCTAGTCATCATCACTCACCGCCAACTCTTAGGCTACTTTTTTACCAACGAATAGTGGGATTGACTATCACATTATAACACCCCTACGGCTAAAAGGGTGAGCATGTTTGGTGGGATGGAGATTCGAACCCGCGACCCACATATTGTGAGTTGAGCGCCATAACCACCTGGCCATGCCAGGCCTTGTGCCACATGATAAAAATAGTTTACATATAGAGGTCAGCACTGAATGAGAATAGCTACTTATGTGAGTGGAGATAAGTACCTATTAGAAATACATTTTCAGTACAAGAAAATTATAACTTTAGGAACACTTTTATAAACTGAATACAGTGCACAAATGGTGACTGTTATACAGACAATATATCACTAGTTGTAAACAGTTTGACATAAATATTTTGAAATTCTGATGTCTGGGTCACAAAATTTGTCATATACAGCTCTTTTGATATCCTTTATAAAGGCTCACTGTATTAAATCTATTTCATTTTTAATTTGGCCCACACAATTCCATAGGTTTGTTTGTTTGCGATTAAGCACAAAGATACACAATGGGCTATCTGTGCTTTGCCCACCACGGGTATCGAAACCCGGTTTCTAGCATTGTAAGTCCGCAGACATACTGCTGTGCCACTGGGGGGGCCAATTCCATAGGACTGGAGGTCTAAAATCTCGAGGAGATGATGGCATCCTTTATGTACCTTATACAATCCTGTTCACTCTTTTAGGATTTTACAAGACATTTTTGTACGTGATTTGTAGGTGTTTTTTAATAAATATTTCTGAGAAATTCCTCCATATGGGTAAGCCATGAACCTTCATATGTTTTGTGTTGGCTTGTACTATTGATGTATGTAACTTATTCCTGTAGTTTTTTCATATGTTATTCTGACAAGTCTATCAGATGTAATCATTTAGTTGTTTTGCTGATTATACAACTTACTAAGGTGAATGAAAGGTAAGTATTTTTGTGGAGGTTAGCTTATAAGTTATTGGTTTTATTACATTTTTTAACAATTTTCTTTTTGTATTACCTTCAGATTTTTTTCATTCTGTTACTGGGTGTTTTGTGTCAGATCTATAAAGTATCAATTTTTTTTCATAATAGAAATTTAATTTCTAAAACAAATTTGGAGCTATTAACACTCGCCAATTTTTTCAGTTCATTGGTATGATATCTCTTAAAAATTGTCTTGCTTTCTAATATTTATATATGCATGTCTAAGATGCTACCATTACACTTATGACATGTTTTATAGTTATATCACAAAAACAAAAATGTCTACAAATATTGAATCTTTCATAGCCTCTGTCTTTTCACACAACACTTTGAATTTTATGGCAGTGTTTACTGAATAAATACTTCAAAAAATACAAGTCTTCATGGGCATGACTAGAAATTCATCATAGTTTCTTTTCATAAATATGAGTGGTTACCTTATAATTGTTAGATATACACGACTGTTTCCGTTTAAGTTTAATGCAAATGTAATGATTTAGATAGTTTAAGTATAGTGTGAGTATTAAATTTAGTTATTTTTATTAGGAATAGTTTATCGCAGGTTTGTTTATATAACTATTTATGAATCATATGTTGTGTAGTTCAATTGTTGTGAATTGACACTTGTTTGTATTATTACATCCCGTTACTAGAATCTTCTTAGTTTTACTCGTAGTTTTGATTGAGTATTATTGCATCATAATATCTGGTAGTGTGTAGAAAGTTCTAGGTCTCCATCAGACTGTAAATACATGTGCAAAATGTAATTTGAGTTAGATAATTAGATTGAGATAAATCTAGACTGAATTGTGAGTTTGGCCATAAAGAGCATATAGTGGCACTTTTTAAAGTGAAATCATCACAGACTTGTATTGTAACAATAAAGCAGGAAGAATGATTTGTCTTGTCAATTATATTCTAAAGTAACTGAACCACCCTGTATGAACTTTGATAAAAGAGAAACAATTATTTAAAGCTCTGGATACAGCTGTGATAACCAACAGTGTAATGAGTGCGTGTGTTTTCTTATAGCAAAGCCACATTGGGCTATCTGCTGTGTCCACCAAGGGGAATCGAACCCTTGATTTTAGCATTGTAAATTTGAAGACTTACTGTCATCCCACCATTTGTCTTGTTTTAATATATCATATGAAAATAGACATTGATTGTTTATTTTGAAATTTATCGTCAACAAGTCACAGATACCTACTGTAAAGAATCTGGCCCATACAAAAGAACCAGACAATAATAAAACAAGTTACCCCAGCCAAAAGGCTTAGGAGTCCTCCCCCCCCCCCATAAACATTTTAAAATCTGGATGTTCTGGAATGCATTTTTAAGCAGGAAGAAATAAACTCTTATAAACAGGTAAATTAGTAGTTTTAGTATTATGTTTTTGTATCTTTAAATTTATACAATTTTCCTTTGAAATGGTAGTCGAGATGTAGGTGGATGCTTTGGATTCCAAAATATGTGTTACTGTATACCAGTTACCTGCTTAATTACAATGCTAGGTTAGGAAGAGATATTCCCTTTAACTGGCCAACATTGAACAGCATAAATTAGATTATTTTGTTTGATAGTGGCAACTGCAAAAGTAGGAAAATTTCATTGTTTACATGCAGGATCAATATCTATCATGTTCATTTGACATCATGGTGCACTATTTGTAGACAAGCTAAATAACTTCTTATTTGACAATGAACCTTGTGCTGTACCTGCATGGTGTACAGGGTGTTTAATAAGAATAAAGTACCAAAAAAGAGGGGAAGCAGTGGCTTTATGTAAAATGTGTTACAGTCTATTCAAGTTCAGGGCATCAAAGCTAGTAGCAGTGAGGTTGGATGTATTTGGGTTTCTGTTAGCGCTTAGAAGGTTTTTAGTTGGAAGATGTTACAGACCACCATATGAACTGATGAAATTAATGAGAAACTTTAAAAGTGAAAAAAATAATTCAACTGCTGATGGAATTATAATTATGGGAGATTTTAATTTCAGGCATATAGTTTGGGAAATGTCAGAGCCAAATCATGAGGGAAACAGGTTTTTAGAAACTATTCAAGGTGGTTTTCTTCAAACACTGGTAAGAGAGCCTTCTAAGCACAGTGTTATTTTAGATTTATTGTTAACTTCTAATAAGAAAATATTTGACAGGGTAATAAGTTGGGTAGCTGGAGATACTGATGAAATGTGGAAGTTTTTTTTAAATATATACCTAAATATTCAAGATAGGCATGTTCCTTATAGACATAAAAGAGTGGCTGTAAGTAAAAACCAGGTTGGCTCACAAAGGATGTAAAGGATAAAATTAAAGAAAAGCATTATAAATATAATAAGCTTAATTTACCTGCAATGATGAGAGACTTGGAAGATTAGAGCAGATCAAGATTGTCAGGATCTGGATTGTTTTGTGAGTTAGGCAAATAAATGGGAGATGACTTTTAATTATAATAAATGTAAGGTAATGTTTATTGGATAGCCCAATTTGAATTATGAGTATAATATAATTTTGATAGGAATAACTTTAACAGTGTTATGGAAGAAAAAAATTTTAGTGCTCTGGCTCATAAGTCTTTTGAGCTATCAAAGCAATGTGCTGTTGCTATTGGCAGGCAAATAAGATTTTAGTTTCTGTCTGCAGAAATATTAAATACAAGTCTCAAGAGGTTATAATATCATTGTATAGGTCATTGGTTATGCCATATTTAGAGTACTGTGTTCATTATTGGGCTTCATACTTTGGAAAGGACATTGAATTATTGGAAATGGTTCAGAGGAAGGCTATTAGGATGATATCTGGGATGGAAAGGTTTCCATACTGAGGATGGGTTAAGATCTCTAAACTTGTTTACTCTTGAATTGAAAAAAGAAGAGTTAGAGGGAATCTGACTGAGGTGTTTAAGATCATTAATGGAGTAGGTAGTTTGATATATCATTTCTATATTTAATAGTGAGAATGTTAAGATTAAGGGGTACAAATATTTTTCTTACAGGGTGGTTGGCATTTGGAATGGGTTGCCTACAGATGTGGTTTATTGAAGGGAGTTTGAGGGAAAGCTTAATATAAATTTGAATGATAAGAGTTGGCTTGGAGTTTTTTAATGTTTAGTTCAATTTAATGGATAGGATAGCTTAGATGGACCAAAAGAGGCCCCTTGTTGTTCTTTAATGTTATATTAATAGACTGTGAAGAAATTAGACTTTTCATGAACTTGGCATTTATGCAGTGGAAGCTTACAAAAATAAAATGATTAAAGTCTGAAAGAAGAAAGACTGAAAGTTATTTTTCCCGAAGCAACTGAAACTACACTGACTGTGTCCTTGATGTTTGATACTTATACATGCACAATTTCATGTATGAACAGTAGATTACGAGAAAGTTGCATAAGTAAATATGAACAATGTATCTTATTATTTTTGTTATGTAGTTAATTCAATATAGCTGGCTTACTTAAATAATAAGACTGTACACAAAAATATGGCTTTTATAGACATGGTTTTTGCTACAGGTACACAGTCTTTTTGAATGGCTCTCTTCTTATAACTCATACTCAGCAAGCAGATGAAGGTATTTACCGATGTGTTGGCATTAGTTCCAGCAAGGACATACCCCAGCAGACATACATTGCTCATTTAAGACTTGCATGTAAGTATCAGGTAGTAGCTTTGAAATTGTTTTCTTTATAACTTTACGATTTTAAAACAGAAAAACCATAGATATAATACTGATTTTTATCATTTTGGATAAACTTTTACAAATATAGTTGTTATTGAAGCTAGTAGAATACAATGTATTGAGATGTATCAAAATATCATTTTGTGCATAATATGTATATTGAAATAATTAGTAAAAAGGCTTTTCTGTGGTTGTAAACTTGTTTTACATAGAGTAAGATGAAAAGATATACTTTGAAATTTAAATATGTTTTGTTTAATTTATATCATATCTATAGACTGTTTTTACACTGAAAAATATTTTATTTCTATAACTAGCACTAGTACAAGATATTTTTGGATGAGTAAAATGTTTTTAATTACCATATCAAGTGGTCTAAGAATTATAAAAAGTTAAAAGAGTAATTTGAAATAAGGTTTAAACCTTTTTATGGATAGAATTCTATTTGAGAAAATGATATTATTTGTTGGTCAGCCAGAATAGTTCTAAAAAAATAGCCTATATGTAGTAATCAGATTGATTTTTATTTTTCTCACATTATTTCCTGTGAGTATATAAGATGGTCTTATTTGATTATCAAATAAAATAAAGTACATTAAAGGAATCCTGTTAGTGATTATTAACAAATTTGAATTTAATTTGTACATAAGGTTTTGTGTTTCTTTTTTTTTCAGATCTTGAAGAACTTTCAGAATACTCTTTTGAACCTCCACTTGGTGACAGTGAAATATTATTCTTTCCTTTGCATGGTCGTTTTGAGATAACATGTCTGGCTCCAGCAGGATTTCCAGCCCCCCGAGTTTGGTGGGAAGATCCTAAAGGCCATGTTATAAGTGACACTGGTCGAATTCGAGTGGACAATGGTTGTTTAATTATTAGCAATGTTAAACAAACTGATTCTGGTAGTTTCACCTGTGTTGCTGTGAACTTAATGGGAGAACAGAGAAAAAAAATAGACCTATATGTTACTAGTAAGTTTTGTTTTGTTTGATGTAACAGAACTTAGAAGAGTAAAGATGAAACTAATCATTATGCTATTAATCAGTGTTATGTACTTAAAAATCATTTTCTATTTTGAAAACTGAGTGTTAAGAAAAGCAGGTAGGTAAAAATGTTATTTTGTTTGTCACTATTAGTTAAAACTGGCTTAAATTTTTTCATAAGTGACTTTTTCTCATGATTCATTTTACAGATAACCCATACTTCCCAAGATCATTAACCAAAATCAAAACTTTAATTGTCATAAATTAAAATTTGAAAAGACTTTCTAATTATTTTGTGCAAAGTGTCTTTTACAGGCAAGTTATCTTATTGTCATGCTGCTTTGTAAGTCAACAGCATAATATTTGATTTGGGGTGGTTTTTAATTAGACTTGAAATAAATTTGTGCATTTTTTTAAACCAGATAAAATATTAACAATCTCACAGGTCCATTGGGTAATACGTTTTACTAATGTTTTATAAGGTAGAAGATAGCATCACTTGCTAAAAACTGATACTCAGAAAAACATTTTCACAATGGCTTAAAAGTTCTTGTTTGCTGGTATTTAACTATCAAACAAATTATAGTAGTTACACTTTATACATGAGCTGCTTGAAATGATCTAATGTTAGAGTTTCCTTTTCCCTTGATAATGTGTGTTCTACTGTATGAATTTATTATTCTTAATTTGTCCATTCAACTACCCCGAAAAGCCATTATTTTGCCAAATATTAAAACCTCATTTATGATCCATTAAATCAAACTAAATGATTTAACTTACCTCATTTTTGTCTTCACTGTAGGAAACAAATTGTATGGAAATTATGAATTTCATATTATAAACCAAAAATATTTTTGTTTTAATGACATAACTTTAATTTTTCTTATGATTCATATTATAGCTCATGTCATAACTTTGTATAAACAGGTTCCGTAAAATTTGACTTGTATATGAATAAGAATTTTTTTTCAATTGTTGTGTTTTATTTTGAAGTTCCACCAGTTATTGTAGCTGGCCCTGTTGATGTTGAAGTAGATGAAGAGAAATCAGCAACAATGTCATGCAAGTACGAAGGCATTCCATTTCCCATTACCACTGTAAAGTGGTTGAAAAATGACCACCCTATTAATCCTTCTGACCCCCACATTACTGTTCATGAAAATAATGGAACCTTGATCATTCAGGATGTACAAATATCTGATGCAGGAACATATAGATGTGTGATTTACACGTCAGGGTTTTCACCAGTTTATTCTGAAAATAGTACATTAATTGTTAAAGGTAAGAAAATTGAACTGACAAGAAACTTTTTTTTTTCTGTTTAACAATCAAATGGAAAATAGTTAATTTACTAGGTTTTCAAAATAATTATTTTAAAGCAATCATAATTCTAACTTTGAGCTTTTAGGCAGTGACACCACTTCAGCAAAATCTTGGGGTGGGAGGCATAGTTGAACCCTTATCTGTACAAAATACATGAACTGTTGATGATGTAGCACATGTTGGAGTTCACACATCAACTCTAATAACTACATAAGAGCCAGAGGATTATGAGAAACAAAAAACCACAACTTGGAAATTAATATTAGTAATTTCCCTTAAAAATAGCCCATTAAACAGACATTTTACATTTCTAAAAAAAATAGAAATAAGGCTTGGGTGTGGCAGCTGCCCCCCCTCACACACACACACCCCTTCCCAAAATGGTGCCAATGGGATCAGGATCCCCATTTCTAATACAAGAGGCCAGCACCCACTTTAATATTCTTTTTTGAACATAATAAAATGTTAAGGTTAAACAAAATATTTTAAAACTGGTTACAGTAGTTCACAACATTTGTTTACACATTTGGTCAATTGATGTTTTATGACTTACCATTAGTACTTGAAAGATTGTCTTTGTTTTTGTGACTATAATGCCCAATGATTTATATTTAATAGAAATGAAATCTGAAAATATAAACTTACAATGACATATTTACATATAAACATCTGTTAACTTTTACTCATGGAACTGCATAAAATAAACCAAAATCTGATTCAGAATAAAAATTGTATAATGTGTTTGAATTACTCATTTTGATTTTTTTTTTTTTTTGGCAGAAACCTTAAAATTTGTCCCTCCTCCTGTAAACAAGAAACTAGAGTTGGGATCTAATGGAAAGATTTACTGCAAGGCTCGTGGGGCTGAAACACCTGTGGTTCACTGGGTAAAGGACACTGTACTACCTACCCAGTGGCCTTCTCACATCAGTGATGAAAATGGTGTACTGCACTTCAATGTTGTTCAACATGAAGATGCTGGAACATACACATGTATTGCTTCCAGCTCTCAGGGAACTATTAATGCTACAATAAATGTTGAAGTTGTTGGTTAGTTTTTTGTTGTTTCTTATAATCTTTCAAAGACTTAACTATTATTAACAAACTAGTAGAAATATTGCAGTTACTTTGCTCTTTATGTTCATGATATATTATTATTCAACAATATCACAGTGTTTTCAGTTTCAATACTAGTCTTAGTATGCTGATATTCCACAAACTCAATTTTAATGTTTGCTCTTGCCTGGTTGGGTTACAAAACATATCTATTTAACAAGAGTAGATGAAAGAAGTGTACATATTTGTGTGCTATACTGAAAATTATACATTGTGTCAGAACTATTCTTAGAGGAATAGAATCTTCATTGAGTTTAATGAATAAATTATATTGTTTCATCAGCTAGACATAGTAATTAGTTATTGTATAAGTAAAGTAATTTAAATATTCATATTTTGATTTTGCTTGTTACCCAAAAAAGCAGGAATGAAATATTGAAAATATAATGTCCGTGTGTTTGGAAAATAAAACTGTTGCAAATAGTACTTTTATAAGCATTATGCTGGTATGGCATTGTCTGATTGGTTGTATGACAGCCAGTTGCAGTGTAAGCTATCAATATACTACACTTGGTGCAGTTAATTTTCAAACAGTAGAGGGCAATCCCATAATATTTGCACTTTATTCACTGTTTTGGTAATTATTGTAACTTTTTATTATGTAAAAACTCAAATTTCTATGTTGTTCTGTAGGTATAAAGAATCTTGTGTATTTTGCATCTAATAAAGCTTATTCTTGGGTAGCCTAAATCCATGACTTTTAAGGATAGGCCAAAGTGACCAAATAATTTAAGAATTTTTTCAATTCCATACTATTTGACATGCTTGGGACTTGCCTAATTAATGAATGTATGAAACTTTAAGTGAGTGTCTCTCTTGTATATCTCTTATTGCCTCATATGAACAATATTTTCCTTAGCCTAAGTTTTTATCCCTTTATGTTAAATATAACTGTGTTATGTGCAATTAAAGTACCCCTTTTTATGATAGGAAAATTAAAATATTTGGATTATTATTCATAAAACCTGTTTTGTACAGATAGTTAAAATAATTTCATATTGTGTTACAAGACATTTTCTATGAGTTAACTTAATCATTCAATCATGTTGTCCTCTCCAATTTTGAGGGTTGGTGACTATGGTTCTTTTTTGTTATTTATTCCTTTCTGCTTGCATGAACTTTCCTAATTTAAATTTCTAATCTGCAGTCCATTTTCTTTATATCCTAGAGCTAAGTGAGTCTCTGCCTGCCTCTAGCTCTTCTTCCTTTGATTTTATCCATCAGAATCTTTGTCAACCTTCACTCAAATCTAATTATATGCCCAAAGTATTCCAGCCTAACTTTATATTCTCAATTAAGTAATTATTGTAAATTATAATTGATTATTAGATAATTGTTATACAATGTATTAATTAAAAGGAGTTACAAATTCTGTGAGAAATCTCATGAAAGGCTATTTAGTCAAACAAGGATGAAGTTTCTTTTCTTCCTCAACTGTGTTATAATACTTTATTTTATATCTGAAAGCAATTAAAGATATTTTGAAAGTTAAGTTTTTATATATTTTATTTTATCCAGATTACTTTAATCAATAGCATTTGAATGGGAAGTATCCTTTCATCACAACATTTGAAGTCTTAATGGAGAATATATATCCAGGATTCATGTCTTTTACAATATTTGTAATACATTGTTTCAGGTTTTGTGTACTAATTATAAATAATAAAAACATTTTTATTCTAGTGATGCCTAAGTTCACAGTGACACCAGCAGACACAGAAGCTTATGAAGGGTACCCAGTGATGCTTCATTGTGAAGCTAAAGGAGATCCACCTCCAGGTATACAATGGGATAAAGACAATGTACTCAAGGGTTTTGACAAGAAACGATTCCAAGTCCTAACTAATGGAACTTTGTATATCAAAGAAGCACACATGGCTGACAAAGGAAAGTATGGGTGCACAGCAGGAAACAGTGGGGGATTTCGTCGTGCTGAAGTGCTCCTGAATATTCAAAGTTAGTTCCTAACACTTGCTGTGTCTTTAATCTTCTGAGATTAACTTAATATCATAAAGTATGCTATTTACTTTTCATTAATTCCCAACTACGAGATTTATCATGAAATAATTTTCTTATGCCTATATTTTTTTTCTTTAATTGTATACATATGCATAGGCAATTTTGATAACAATAATTACGTGGAAGGTCATTGTAATATTTATTTCACTTACTTTGAATAAAGGCTACTTCTGAGAAGTTAAGTGGCTATAATAAACATATAATACTTTAAAAATAAGGTGATTCTTTTTGCAGTGCAAGTTACAATAGCATTGGTAAAATATTCGTTTTAAGTTAATTAACCAAAGTATTCTACAAATAAGGATATTTTTATTTGGCATTTTAATATAATATTACTCCAGAATTTTTGCACATTATCTCTTGATGATGAGGATATATGTAGTGATTGAAATAGAAGATGTTGATGATCAAGATATTATAAGTATATGTGACTTAGCTCTCAAGTTAGAAAGTTTCAATGACAAGGATATTTTAGTAGTTGAATTTGAATTAACTTCCAAGTTGTAAAGTCCTTAATGATCAGTTCATCTTAGTTTTTGAAACTGAATTAGTTCCCAAGTTAAAAGTACCATCATTTTTAAAGTGTCATCTATAAAACAATTGATACTTTAGTTTTCTGAACTGTTACCTTTGTGGACAGATTTTTATTAAAGAACATTTCGTATGTTAATATTTACAGGGAGCTAACCTTCATTTTATCTCCAGGTACAGAGAACTATAGTCCAAACCAAGTAAGTGAACAGGATGAAAATGAGGCTAATACCATGAACAAGACAGTTACAATAACACTTTGTGCAGCAGTTATCTACATTGTTCTTGTTATTGGACTCATGATTTGGTGTCGCATTAGACGAGCTCGTCGTAAAGCCAAGCTGTTAGCTGAAGCAGGCGAGGAAGGTAAGTGTTAAAATATACACATCTAACTTTTTCCTTTTTGGAGAATTCCAGCAGATTTAATAGAATTAAATGAAGTAATGTGATGTTACTTTTAACTTCAATAACTTTGGAAAGTAAAATATTGAGGTCATATATATATATATATATATATATGTCTGTTATACAAACAATTTGTTGGGTTAGGAGAACTGAGTGAAATCCAGAATAATATATTATACCCATTATTATATTACCTTCATATTTAAGCTAAATGAATAATTCAAGGTTTTAAAGTTTTTATTCAATCAACTTAGAAGTAAATTTTATCATTTAGTGAATTCTAGTAATCATGGTTTTAGAGTTAAAAACTTTAATATGTTATAAAAAATACCAAAATCAATACATACTATAAACTCTATGCAGGGACATAAGCTAAAAGAATGAGAAACAATGTAAGATAACATTTCAAAAACATTAGGAAATTCAAAAGACAGGTTCTTCGTAGATCGATTTTTATCTTAGTGTGTATATATATAGGTTTAATAATAAGATAACTTTTTTGTTATTCTCATTATCTCTGCTGTTGCAGAGTATTTGTTTATTGATGAACAGTTTTAAATTTGCAAATGTTGGAAAAAAGATATATTGCAAATTCCTTATAAATTCTTAATATTGCCATAATTCAATCTTCATTATCTGTTGCACTTTTAATGATAATTTTATTGATTTATGGTCATATTGCTTCAGTTAAATGTGGAACATTCATGCAAAAGCACAGATAACATTTAAACAGTGATGTAATTTACAGTTTTATTCTGTTACATCACATGATTTACGAAAGTAAACTTACATTTAACATAGTTTATTACTTTTCTGAACATTCTTTCATTCCAAAAATTAACCTGATATTCAGGATATGTTAAAAGCACTTTCTATCTTACTCCAAACTATGTGATGGTCTGTTGAGGATTGTAAATATATCAATAAATCAATAACCTTTTCCGAGGAATGCTGTTAAGTAAAACTAAGGTAGTAGACTATGCTCTCTGTTTCAGTTAATGATATTCTCATCAGTTTGGTTTTGTTTTTCATGACAGTGTTAGCTTTCTGGCGACATTCAGCTTCATTTACCAGAACAAAACCAACAAAGTGATGGAGTTAAATCAATCTTAAATATTCTGTTAGTTTCTGGTGGCATTAAAAGAAATGTTCACTTAGCTCTGTATTCCTTCATCAGTATAATCCACAGGTTTCAATCTTGCAAAGAAAATCATTAACATGAAAACATTAGATAGCTCTATGTATAAATAAAAATGCTATTCAGGGGTGAGAGGGAGGAATGTTAAACAGTATTGCACAACTATGTTATATGTGAGAACAGGTAATACTTATTAGCATCATTACCTAACTGAAGTTTTTTAAGAGGCTGTGTTAATTTATGACAGTATTTTAGTTGATAAAATATGTCTGATTTTTAACATTTAGCTTGTGAAAACTTATAAAGATATTATATTATTATGCTGTTTCTAGTAGCCAAGCTTGATGATGATAATCCACAAGGTAACATTGAAATGAAAGACAAGGTCAATCATGCTGGTCAGGAACAAGTAAATGGTGTTAGTAGTAAAGATGGGGACATCAACACCCCTGGCCCTTTCTCACAACCTGCCAAAGGCAACAGGTCCTCCTATGATAACATCAAGTTTTCTAGAGACAACCTTCAGACAATGATGCTACTAGGTAGGTCAATCTGGTGAACTTATGTTTTCTTTTGTAAAGAGGAAAGATTCTGCTCTACCTTTCTTTAAACCATACATATGTTTATGACTATGTTTAGACTAACTATAATTGCATTAAAGATATACATTCCTTCTCCAGCCATTTATGTTTTAAGTTATGTTATCAGTACACTTAAGGGAAGGGACACTGATAGAAAAGTATTTATAGTATGAAAAATATTTTCCCCAAAGTAGGTTAGTTTTGAATTCAAAATAAATTGAGGGTCACAAGTTTCAAACAACAAAACTTTTAACATATAGAACAGGTAAAAAAAAATTTGAAAGTAAACATTCATAAAAATATTTAAAATATGAAAAGCTAAGACCTCATACTAACAACATAAAATATTCAAACTTCCACTAATCTCATGCACCATATATATATATAAAAATATTAAAATTTCCACTGATCTCCTACACCATAAAAATATTCAAACTTCAACTAATATTCTACCCCATAAATGCTTGTTTTGTTTTGTTTGTTTTAAAGTTAAGCACAAAGCTACACAATGGGCTATCTGTGCTCTGCCCTCCCCGGGTATTGAAACCCGGTTTCTAGTGTTGTAAGTCTGCAGACATACTGCTGTGCCAGTGGGGAGCATACCACAAATAAAATTGATAAAACAATCTTTTTCTTTTTACAAATTTAGTAGCATTTGAAAAAAAAATGATTGAACTCAGTTTAAGCTTGAGGCAATGAATAATGATCATTGTGAAAAAATTTTAACTGGAAATGATGAATATAATACTTTAAGATTGTTTAAATAATTACTGAAAACAGTTTAGAAACTTGTTTATGTTGTAGTAGTCTGATTCTAAGATTATTTACTTGTAATCTATAAAAAAATCAAAATAACATGCATTTCACTTTTAGAGTTAACAATATGCAAGAACCTAAAACATTTTATTAATACCCAGTTTGCAACCCAGGGAGTCATTTTTGGTGGATTGATTTCCAAACAAAGTTTTCTAGTATTATCTTTTTTTAAGTTCTAAACAAAGACTTGAACATCATGCAATATCTAGAATTAGAATTGCTTACTAGCATAGCATATTTCACACCAGTTTTCAGATTATGAGGGAGTAAAACCCATACCACTATCAAAAATTTCACACAAAATATAGTAGTGGCTGCAAATGTTGCACAATCCAAGATTTGGCTCTTCAGCTCTATACAGTCTCATTCTCCATGGTTTTCATGACCTGTGTAACTATAGATCACTGTGGAAAGCTTAACAAAGCTTACTTACTACTTTGAAGTAACTAAGTGTGGTACCTGCCTAATGTGAACACTTCTAGAATTTTGTGCTAGAGAAATACAGTCCAGCCAATCCCTTAAACCCTGCATCTTTGTGGCCAAACATTACTGAGAGATGAGTTCTTTTGGTAGTAAAGTGTGATTTTTTTAATGTTAACATATTGAGTCTTTTACCTTTTCTCGTTCTAATTTCTATAAAAGAAACCGTGACAACTCTCTGTAGCCTACCAAGGCTGTTTAATGATTCTCTTAATTATGGTAGTGAGCCATTTTATTGTATTTGTTTGTTTATCTTTGCCTTAGGACATGGAAAATATGGGGAAGTGTTTCTAGCCAAAGCCCGTTCTATTGATGACCTTAAAACAGAAACTGTTGTTATGGTGAAAGCACTGCAAACAAAAGATGAAGACGCTCACTCAGAGTACATGAAAGAAACTGAAATGTTTCATAAGCTTGGTCATAAGAATTGGACAAAACTGTTAGGTGTATGCTTGGATACTGAACCTTTTCTGATGGTCATAGAATACAGTGACTGGGTAAGTTTCAAAGATCTGTGTGATATTGTAGTAGATTAATAAACTGAAACACAGGTCTTCCTTTTGATTAGCTAATCATAAAAACTGTAGATTAAGAAACGTTTCCTAAAGTCTAATTATCGTAAATCTGCCTATTATAAAAAAAAATTATCTTTACATATGTCAGTAAAAACATTTAAATTATTAAATATCTGAGCACTCGAACTGAGAAAATGCACAACTTCAGTTGCTGACTACTTATCATTCCTTGTATTATCATGCTTTTCTATATTCTTCTTAAGCATTTTTTTCAATCTTTGAATGTTTTTCCAAAAGGGCTCTTCATTAATTTTCCTTGCATACTTCCTAAGGGCTAGGCTTTCTTAAGTGTCCAGTTGGATGTCACCAGTGTTCTGGGGCAAATTTCTCTGAGTATATACCTTACACAAACATATAATAATTTCTAAACGATACACAATGGACAAAACTTTTCAAACACATATAATATGTTGAGTTTGTGTTAAGTTTTTCTAGCAAACCAAGGAAATAAACAATGGTAGGGTGTTAAAAGTAGCATGGCATCAGCAGAAAAATTTTATTTCAAAGCAATAACACAAACACAAAAATTGTAAGTATGACTCAAGCCTTTATTGTGATTAATTAATAAACATTTATGTTTTAAGAATTTGTTATTAGCTGATTGTCCCATTACTTTTTCACATATAAAAATATCCAAAATAACATGTTGCTTTTATCATGTGTTCTCCTTTATAGATATTTATTTTCAAGGAAATAATTAATTTTTTTTTAATAAGTAAAAGGATTAGAGTCTAAAATCAATCCAAAAAGTATATAATTTGATTTGATCATACCCCAAACATCAGGTCCAGAATTATTTTAGGTACATCCATTTGGAGATTGTAATAAAATTAGTTTTTTAAGCATGTGATTCTCCTTTATGCATATATCTAGTGTAGATACTCAGATTATGTCATTTTGTTATACACAACAGCCAAGACATTTGTTGTTATCAATAACTGAAAGGTTAAAGTAAATTGCATTTTTCCAAAAAACATCACTGAACATGAAATTGTGTGAACTCCTTCACTTCAGTTTTGCTTCAGAGGGGAGTACATAGATTGTATAATGCTTTTCCCACCATATTTAGTTTCCGCCATGTGCAGATGATTAGGGTAGGGTGGATTTGAGATGTAATAGTCACAAATCAACTCATTTTCCTCCAAGAAAAGTCCTTGAAATTGAAAGTGGGGTTACATAACAGGTGTGTATCTCTTTAACTGTATAACTAATATTCAAATAGTGTGAGTGGTGGTAGTTTTCGGTTTAAATGACTGATAAATTACAAAGCTAAATCTGTGAGCAATAAATAGGGGTCTGTTTATAAAACCACATAATTGAGGACATGGTGAGATGCATGTAAAGGAGTTCACAGAATGGGTAAAGGAGATCACCATTTTAATTCAACTCCTTATATATGCTTTGCACTTCTTAGTATAATGCCACATTATAATAAAAGCTTACGTTTATGATCTGTGGAAGTAGTCTAATACAAATATAATCTGGTAAAGGAGAACACATGTGAAAAACAGTAGTCATCTTCATCAAGGTGGAGATATATGACAGAATGTAGCCCAAGTACTAGATTTTTGGCACAAGGTTTTTCAGTAGTTATATTTTCAAGAACTGTATAAATCATACTTATATGAGAAGATTTTTTTTCAACATTTTCCAGTTGAAAAATGGACACTTATGAAAGCCTGGCCCCTAAATCTCCTAAGCCCAAGGTAAAAAATGACACAAAATTTATAAACAGCTCAATTTTGCTCACCCAACTATTTTTCCTAAAAATACTTTTGTGCTTTACATCCTTTTTAATACTCTCAAAAAAAAATTATCAAGAGGATGTAATCTAGACATTTATTTTTGTATACAGAGTAATAATATACAAACCTTGGGGCCACATGAGTAACTTGCTCAAGATTAGAAAAAAATTAAGTACTAACTGCAAAGAAAATAATTAAACAAAGAAAAATTAACTTAGAAGTTTCAAATTATTACCTAAACGTTTTGTTTTATCATCTACTCAGCTTAGATGGCCCTCAAGGGTGAGGCAACCATATATTGTTTGTAAACATAACGTATTAGGATGTTAAGAAATCTGCTATGGTCAGGGCTTGAACCCAGGACCCTCAGCTCTGAGACTTATGCTTTTACCAACTGATCTAGCAAGGAAAAGGTGCCAAACAGACAACTCTCTATCCTGATCATTACAAAGGGAAATAAGGGTTCTTAGGTGCTTATATGCTCATTTACATTTATTTGTTATAGTATTAGGTCGTCAAGAAATTAATGTCACGTTTTGGAACACTTTCATTAACCACCCTCCAAAAACGTACATAAT